TTATAAATTATCAAGGGTTCATGAGGGAGGGAGGGTGGGGGAGGGCGGAAAAATGGGCTGATACCAAGGGCTCATTTTGAAAGAAAATGTTTTGCAAATGTAAATATGTGCTTGACACACTGTATGTATGTATAGATTGTGATAAGAGCTGTATGAGCCTCCAATAAAATGATTTTTTAAAAAGAAAAAGAAAATGATGGCAATGTATGTACAAATGTGCTTGACACAATGGATGTATGTATGGACTGCGATAAGAGCTATTAGAGCCACCAATAAAATTATTTAAAAATAGATAAATAAAATTAAAAGGGAACCCTGATGGAAGGTGTGGGCTAGGTGTTATGCTGCCAGTAGTGTACCAAACCACCAGTCTCTCCACAGGAAAAGAATGAGACTGTCCACTCCCATAAAGGTTTAAAACTTTGGAAACCCCATTTAGGGTCACTATGAGTTGGAACTGATGCAAGGGCAATGGGTTTCAGTTATTCTTAAAAAGACAATTTCACATTTACTCACTTTGATAAATCAAAAGAGAAATGCCTAGTTTCTGGTGTGTTCTGATTTAAACTAATGAACAATTTTGTGCTCACCTCTTCTCAAATGCTTAGGCCACAAGAACAAAAATAGCGATTACAAACCAAAGACATTGTCTGGATGAGCCTTTTGTCTCCAGGTATATAAAAGTCTAAGTACATATAACACCATTATTCATATTTTTAATATTTTCTAACTAAAGTTATAAATACCATCAATATATTATCTTTTGTGCATTTTCCCTCATTGCTTAGTTTTCTATGGAAGGCCCTTAAGTATTCCCAAACTGATTGAAAATAAGATCAAAATTAGCATGTTCCCAGGATTTTATCAGAATGTTATAAGCAGTGGGAAGATTAATTCTGGATTTCTAAACACCGGGTTACAATTAATACCAAAACCACACCTATTGTTCTCAAGTCAATTCCAACCACTCTGTGACCCTATATGAAGGACAGGTAAATACTGACTCGAGTTTACTTCTCAAGAAAGGAAGGACGAGAAAAGGAAATTCACCAATTAAACATCAATGATTTGAAATTCATTTTATGGTACATAATATCCTGGTTCTTTTTGGCCTTGTTGCTAACCAGTCTTTCCTCAACTGAATGCTGACATTGTTACTGAAATTCCTTTATAAGGAAATTGTTTAAAGCGGCTCTAATATGGTGGCCGCAAGCTACATGTGGCCATAAAATTAAGTATCCCGTTCTTCATTTATACCCTGGACATTTCACATATGTGGCTGGTAGCTACTGATATGGGCCACGTGGGTATAAAATGTTTGCTTCATTGAAAAACTTCTATTGGACCATGATGGTCTAAACTATAAATTCTTTAAAATCTAGCCCTGGATACAGAGACAGCACTTAGTTCTCCTGACTTAGATGCTGAAATTTTAGTGTGCTATTCATTAAAAAAAAATTGCATCTTATATCAATTAAGTTATATCAGAAATACATAAGGGATTTGATCAATATCTCATAAAATTCCTGCTTAATTTTATTTATTTTTATGGAACAGATATGAAATAGAAACTCAATACTAAAACTAATCGTTTCAATTTCTGGAGTAACCTAAGTAACAACTCAATCATATTCTTGGATTTTTAAAATATTATTATTACTCAAAGGGAAATAAAAGGAAGACATAATATTTGAAAGAGTTCATGTTTACCA